AAAAAAAAAAAAAAAACACCACTCTTTAGTGGTCGGCCGGTTCACCGTGAACGGCGGCCGTCACAAAAAAAACATCAAATGAACGGCCGGTCACGGTCACGGTCACGGGTACGCTCAGGACCGCGAGGTCCTTTGGGGCCCGGGGATCCGTGTTTCACGGAGAGGAGAGGGCATGCACGGAGAGAGGCGTTACAACCGAGAATTCGGATCGTGGCTGCACCCTATTGGAGGAAAGCCTGAAGCACAAGTTTTTTTCTTTTTTTCTTCCTTTTTTTTTTTCTGACATTGCTCCGAGGATGAGTCCTAAAACCCATGCTCCTAAGGATGAGTGTAACGAAGACAACAAAAACCCTAAACTTTTTCCGAGGATTCATCCTCGGAGCCCGAGGATGCCCCGAGGAGTGTCTAAGGACGCCTGATCCCCCCACTACACTACAGCCCAGTTCCAGTGTAGTTTTCAGATCCCACCAGTTTCCTACGTCGTTATTACTACAACTTTTCTGTAGACCATGCGGGCTTCAGGGCAGCGAAAAAGAGGGAGCAATTTTTTTTTATGTTTTTTTTTTTTTTTTTCTCTCGTTTGTCCGTTTGCAGCATCAGGAATGTCCGTGGACCACAGTGTTGTGTGGCATTTCGTTTGGTGGAGTCTGTAATAGCCCAGGAAGAACCGCCGCTGGCCCGGGAAAACCACCAAAGAAGTAGCCCTGGTGGGATCCAGTTTCTCCTTTTGTCCCGACAGGGCCGCAGAAATCTTCGTAGCCCTTTTTCGCGTCTACAGTCCTAGTGTGGTGATGGGATCAGACCCTTAATAGTGCATTTTCAAACTCCAACCCTGACTCAGCCCCACCCGAATAGAATGCCCGGTCCGTATGGCTGTATTTGGTGCACTCTTCAGTCCAGATACACCTATAATGCCTGGGCATTCTATTCGGGTGAAGTAGGTAGTCTTGGCAGAAAAAAGGGAATTTCAAAGAGAAAAGGGAAAGAGAAGGAGTAACAACGTGCTGCATACGGGTGGACATGGTCCCGTTAATGAAATGAGAAAACAGGACAATCTACATGTTTGTGGAAAGGTGCAGAAAATAGGGGTTGATAGGCTTTCCCCCCCATTAGGATTGAATTCAATGGACCTGTTTGTGGAGGGGTGCAGAAAATAGGGATTGATCCTCTTTTTTAAGAGGGGGGGGGGGGGGGGGGGGAAAATGTGTTTTTTTTTTTTTTTTAGGGGGGGGGGGGGGGGGGGGGGGGGT